TCTCCTCAGCAAAATCACTGGCTGGAATGCCAAAACAATCTTATTTTTAATTAAATGCCAAAGAAGTTACAAGAGATTCAATCTGAAAAGATTGTGATGGAAAAGGATATTGAATCGTACTTTATTATTAGGTAGTCTAGGTTTTATCCCCAATTTTGCTGGTAGTCTGGACACTCTATCCTCATCAGGCACCCAATTCAGCGGCAGAAAGCAATAAAAGCATTGGTAAGTTTGAAATATTATATTAATATGAGTACTTTTTAGGACTTGAATACGTACATTATGTTACCAAGTTATAACCTATGCAGTAAATGCAAATATACAGGGTTTTTTTTAGTAAAATAGTAGCCAAAAGATTACCACGCTGCGAACCTTTTTAGTCGCAGGTGTGGTATATACGGTATAAAAGTTTTAAAATATCATTGTGGCAAAATGCGTTTTTTTTCCCCCATTACTTTAGCCGTAATATTGATGAAAAGTGAAAAAAGGTCTCAGGAGGCAGGCCCCTGGACGGTCTCACGAGGGAGGCCGGAGGCAATGAGACCCATGCCTGCAGGGGCCGGAGGCGGTCCGCCTACTTTAAACTAGAAGTTGTAATGTTGCTGCCACTGTGATTCTAGTCACACCTGCAGCCCTAAGTGCAATATAAGGGGGTATTGCATTGTATATGGAGTTGTGCACTATCTGAGGACTGTACAGTACTCAGCTTGAATGAACTATTGGATAAAATCCTTTTTTTACTATTCAAATGTTATTGCCAAGTCGTGTTTTTTCAACCTTATGTTTATTTGGTACTAATTTAATAAGAATATTATTTTGGATTAGTGAAATCAAATAGACTCTACAGATAAGTAGTAATTTTGAGGCAAAGTTTTATTGACCAGAGGCAAATTTTTACTGTTGGGCGAATGGTATTGGTTGCAGGTGTGATTCAAGACCGATAAATTTGTCTCCTTCAGGGTCTTTTTAAACAAATTCTGACATTAATGGCTGACCCATTCTAGAGACAGATCGCTACGTATGCCAGCGCTATGCGGGCCTCCTGTTCGAAAAAAATCAGGCCGGAAAAGGTGCATTTTAGCTAAAAATAAATCTGCTTCCAGTTGGGTGAAAATCTAGTCATTTTCCACTCGTGTACGAGTCCCACTCGCGTCAACTAGCGAACGGGAAGCTGCCTGCAGTACCCGAAGTTTCGGCAGTGAACGTGATCGCGGGCTGGCAGTAGGCCCGCATAGCGCTGGCATACGTAGCGATCTGTCTCTAGAATGGGTCAGCCATAAATGTCAGAATTTGTTAAAGAAAGACCCTGATTCCTGAAAGAGACAAATTTATCGGTCTAGAGACTAGATCTAGAACTTGTGTGATTCTACTTCTAGTCCAATAAAGCAGAAAAGGAAGCAAATGCCTGGTAATGGTAAATAGTCCTTTGTCGTGACCTTTACCTTGCGTTGTGTAGTTGTTTGGATCATCCTCAGAGACTCAGATTCAGAAGCATGCCATTAAATTTTGCATTTGAAAAACTCAGAATGATCTTATTAATTTGAAAATTTAAGATAGCTTTGGCCTTTTGCCTTTGCCTTTTGCATGGACTGGTTTATATTTTACGTACCGGTAGATCTATTCTAGTCTAGATCTCTAGATCTATCTCTCATCTAATTACAGTACTGCCACTAAGGGGGAATGTACAGTTTAGCAGATGAGATCTAGAGTGACGTAGGAGGCGGGGCCTCCGTTACTAAGGCTCTATATAGAAGCGATTTCAGCCCGAAGGGCTGAAATCGCTAGAGAGCGTTTTGGGGCCCCAAAAAGTCGAAAATCGGGTTCCCCGTCAAAAAGTAGTTTAGTAACCTACTTGTAGGTTGTTTTTAAAAATTAGAGCAAAAAACCGTCGATCTGCCAAAATAATCGGCAAAAACTAAAGTAAACAAAAATACGGAACTATTTTCATGACGTCAGCTTGGAAGAAGAATCTAGCTGGAAATTATTGAAGTATTGAAAAACATGCACTGCCACTGCGCATGTCAAGCATGAACTAGCTAGCTCTTGCGCGTAGTTAAGTGTGTGAACTGTGCAATGCATTATCACGTACGCAGCGCTGAGCGCTTATGCACACAATATATAATACACAAGACGTAGACTAGACAAACGCGAATTTTTAACAGCTGTAGACTCTAGCCTAGGTTTTCTTAGCCATCTAGATCATCAAATCGGATTTGGATTATCAAAAAAAGGTAAGCAGTATCTTGAATATAGGTCTTAGCCTTAGCTAGACTAGTTTTATAGTGATTTAATCCTAAAATCAGGGGGTAAACCCCCCAGACCCCCCTCGGCATTGATGCAATTTTTTTACAAATCGCCGACGACGCTGTTATGGCTGCTAACTAGATCATGTTAAGCCCCATATTATACAGTCCAGTACCTCGGCCAGACTAGCTACATGCGCATTAATATCTACCTTAGCAACGTTACGTCACATCCTTTTTGATCGCCGAGTGGCTATCCGCTAAACTGTGCTAGTACAATTAATTAATAACATATTAATTTTGTCCCATTAGTCTAGAAGATCTAGTCTAGCCTACATAGATTCTACATAATTTTTTACCGTCTGCCATCTGGCTCACATCTACGAGGTAAATGGTTCATATGAACCATTTACAAACCGTTAGTGTATTTTTATAGATATAGACCTAGATCTATGTCATAGCGCCACCTAGATCTATAGATGCACATAGTCTACATGCCAACATTTGAAAATCATAAATCTGTACAAATTATGCTATTTTCCAAAAAAAGAGGAACAATCCTAACTCTCCTATTCAATGCTACCTACAGACAAATTTGTGTACAGGAAGAGGAACACCTGCATTAAAATGATAATTATCTTCTCCCAAAAAGAGGAATGTTCCTCTTTAATCTGAACAGTTAGCATGTATGGATGCATCGAATATAGAGTTGTGTTTTACAAAAGTTCATTTATGAACTTTAGCTTGAGTAAACTTTGTGATTAAATGTTTTGTTAATAGACTAGATCTAGAGTCTAGGCCTAGACTCTAGATCTAGGCCTATTCAAATGAGATTGCTAAGTCATCTATCTAGATCTAACTACTTTATGAATATTTAGAACTGTTTCAACATGAATATTATTTTGAATTAGCCTAGAATCTAGTGAGAACAAAAAGAGATGGATCATAATTTTCAAGAAAATTTCCAATGATCAGAAGGCAACTAGACTCTAGATCTAGTTACCATTGGCCGAATGGTAATGGTCCCTTGTGTGATCTGGCTTTCAATTTTTCCTGTGCAAGATATCTTGTTACAACATAAAATTAAGTGTATGGGACTAAGCTAAGCTATGCGTCTATTCGTAGCCGCACGGAAAGTCCGAAACTACTCAAAATTCGAATCTTTATTTGAATCATATGCATGATTTACACATGAAAACTACTTACCCAGGGCAGAATGAAACACCGGATTTCAAAATTCCGCTAAACTTTCCACTAAATATGCTTCATTTTACTAAGCACGAAGGTTTTATCTGGTCAAAACAAATATTATCGCTATTTTTCGTCAGCGCTGTTTATTGAATTTCGTACGGTACGATAGCTTAGGCCTATCGATATCCAGACGCGCGCGCATGTTCGATCGTCCGAAAACGCACGAATAATCATAATTTCCTGGAGCTCTAAACTGGTCAATTTACAGGGGTAAAATTTTCGAAAAACTGAAAAAATCCACCGAATGAGATAAAAATCTCCAGATAGGAAAAACAAGAGTCCCAAAATATGTTAGTAAAGAGATAATAAAGATATAATCCCAAGTTCAGGTAGATTCGCTAGATTTGTCTCTTCCCCTTAGAGCTGACTTTTAGACGACGCAAGATATAACGATGCCAATTCTCCCAAGGGTTTAACACCCCTGTCATGGAGAGATTATGATTCAATCTAAATGTCGATTTCAGTAGGTGATAAAGTCCCGTTTATAGCCTTGATTGAGTCTCTAAACAGCTGGGATCGTACCAAAACTGCTATGCAAAACGTTGCAGGCAAGGTAATTATTCCCCCTAACTAGACATTCCCCGTAAGCCACAGTTTCGAAGCATAGAAATTGCCCGCAAGTCGCAGTTAAGGTTATAATAATAATAATAATAATAATAATAATAATAATAATAATACAAATAAAAAATAATACTAATACAAATAATAATGCTAGTACTAATAGGTTCCTTTTATCTCGCATTTCAAGACAGGGTAAATTCACACTGCGCTTTACATAAAACAAACTTCTTTAAACATTTCAAACTTATGTCTTCATGCATCAATCAACATACTTGAAATGAATACAAAACAAAATGCATCTTAAAAAAAACAAAAATAAATAAATAGTTAACAATACAGAAAAGATGTAGCTGCTGCAAGCTTAACAACAAACTAATGTATACCAGTCAGTCCTGATATCAGTATTAGTGTAACAATAGTATTATAGTGGGAGCATGAAGTTGAACAATTCATGATTATACATAATTATATATGTTTGTTTGAATAATACTTGTTATAAAGATAGTAGTATGGTACTCTCTGTCACGAATTACTATGTATACTGTTGTATCACATTCATTTTCTATTCTGTTTTAGAATTGGCTTTCACCGTGTGAATGCGGCTAACAATAAACACAATTACAATAATGATGAGGATTATTATTATCATCATCATAATTATTATTATTATTAATATTATAATTGTTATCATTATTATTATTACTATTATTATCATCATTATGACTTATTAAGTAAGCAAATATCATTCCCCAAAACCTGGGGGGGGGATGATTGTACATGCCATCCCCCCACCTTGTGAGGTGGGGGGATGCATCCCCCTCATCCCCCCCCCCCCCCCCCGTTGTCTACGCCCCTGGTCAAAGTGCGTGATTTGTACATATCAAGCTCTATCAGTGGGCATTGTTTGCTGAACGTCCTGCCGAACAGGCTGTTGACATACGTTTTTATAAACGGCCTTATATCTTATCTCCTAAAATGCCTCTTTATGTGTAAGTTGTGTGTACCATTGTAAACGGTTTGGTTGATTCGTACTCTAATGACGGAGGCACTCTATTATTACCAAGGTTTTAAAAACATATATAAGAAGGCGGCCGAGAAAGGGTAAGTTTTTCTACACTGTAGATAAGTGGGGTAAAAATATGTACCCAATATGAGCTACAAAGGGGACATATTATGTTTGTTAGGTAAAACATTGCCCTATATGGGGTAAATTTACCAAAAAAGCCAGTGCACGGTTGCAGTCTTAGCATGAGCAGATAAAGGCCATTGCAAACCAAATTGTGAAATACACGGAGACAAAATACTGGATGAGTGCTCATGAAAGTTATGTAATAATTATTCATTTATGCACGATCAGTGCTCTCCATTATAAACTGTTGGAAGTGTTCTTTGAAAAGGGGAAACAAAGGTTATTTATGTAGCAACCCTTCGCTGTAGGAGTGATTATTTCAAATTGTCCAAAGTGGGATCTCTTTTTGTTTTGAAGATCTGTGGATACTCGGGGTCATTGCAGTAATATGCTAACCGTGAACTGGTCTATTATCTAGATAATTCACTTACGTAGGTGAAAGACAGGCTACGAATTATCGGGATAACTATTATCTATATAATTGAAAGGCCAGTGCGCATGCCGGGTGCGCATGTACCGTACAGGTAGATAAGCATTATGACATCACACGCTCAATAAAAAGTAATGCGCAATGACAATGACAATTTATTCTCATGTCACCCTCATTGGGGTGTTGGAGAAGTTTACAATCAGTGTGAATTTGTCAATTTAACACTGTGAAATATACAATACAAATCGAATGAATTTTAATCAATACAAAATAACACTATCGCGTGAAAAATACTTAAAAGTTCATAAAATATTTTGTGAAATGTCATGCACGCATTATGACAAGTTTTGGGGGATAAAAAGGGAAATTAATGGGATAGAAATATATAAAGCAGTTACAAAAATAGTGAGGCAATGACGACACAAACGGATAACCAAATTGGCAATTTGTGTGGTGATTAGCTAAGTTCCATAGTTTTTCATATCTTCTTTTTTTTATAACTTTCTTATTAATTATTTGATTTCACTCAAACTTGTTTTGATTGGTTTGTCTGATTTGTCCGCATCTATTTAAAGCAATTATTGTTGGAGTGGACCTAGACCCCGTTTACAGTGAGAAAAGGGCCCCGTAATTTTTTGCGTTTACAGTGCTAGGCCAGGCCTGGCCTAGCACTGTAAACGCACAAAATTCCGGGGTAACAGTTGGCCCCGCAATTGGCCGCGCATTTTGTGCGTTTACAGTGAGAAAATGCCGGGCCAGGCCGCGGCCTGGCCCTGCGTGCGTCTAAAGTGAGAAATTACGGGGCCGCGGGCGAGACTACATCTAGGGCAGGGCCAAATGCGCGTTTACAGTGCTAGGCCAGGCCCGACCTTTTGCTCACTGTAACAGGGACTTTGTCTTTATTCTCCATCCAGGTGTAAATAGGTTCCTAATATGCTTGACCGCACGGTATAACCGGTGTTATGATGTCGAAACACTATGCGCATCATACTGTGCTCGATAGGAAAGACATATATAATCCATTTTCATGATTACAAATATCCATTACTGGAAAAACTATCCACCACTTCATTCGATAGGTAATTTTAGTATTAGTTTTCCTTCGTCTCGATTCTTTATGTATTTATACAGATACAGGCAGCAACATGAGTTCAGGTTTTTCATCAAAGGTCCCCGATTGCGTGGTCCAGACATGCTACGAGTACGAAGGCGTCATTATGCCTCTCTCCATGCCCTTGTGGGTGCTGAACCGCGTCAGGAAATTCGAATGTCGACCCGATGACCTGTTTATTGTGACCTTTCCGAAGTCAGGTAGAAATACAGATTTATTGCGATCCTAAGAATTGAAGATTTTAAAGGTAAAGACCAGTATTGGAAACGCCCCAATTTCAAAAAATGAAATGGAAGCTCTTTGTACCAATCATGTGAAAGAATATGTTTTGACTAATACATGATTATAAAAAAATTGCCGGGAAACCGCCTAGTAATTGATATGTTTGGTAAATTAGTTTATCTATTGGTATGTGAGAGATAAACGCACGTGTCACGCACGTGAGCGTAGTCCCATACAGGCGCGTACGCAGGATTTTTTCAAGGGGGGGGGGGGGGGGGGGTTTAACATTTATAAATCGGGCCGAAAATTTCGCAACGACTCAGCCAGCCGCTGAATAAGCGGGGGGGGGGGGGGGGGGGTCAGATTTTTTAGGTCAGCCATGGGAATATTTTTTTTTAATTTGTTTAATTTAAAACAATTAAAAAAAAACAAAAAAAACACAACAACAACAACAACAAAGGGGGGGGGGGGGGTTACACACAGAAAAATGTGTACGCGCTTGGTCCCATATACATCTTTCTGTGTACAGTGCTTGTAACTTTACGAAGACTGGACCAAATTTATTATCATTTTTGAGGATTCCAGAACCTTGCAGTACACACAAAAACTTGTATGCTAGATGATCAACCTTTTCTGGTCGATTCCACAACGTTTCTTTCACAATGCAATCGCATGACCATAACTGGTCTTTATCTTTAATGTGAATATCATTTTGTCTAGAAATCATGCAAAAATGTAACTAGGTTATTGAAACTTGGTGTGTAAATATGAATCATTTAATCGGACAATTAGTAGAGGCCCATTAAAACAACACAGGCAGCCACAGACTTAATTGTGCTTTTTTTTTTACAATGCAAGTAAAATACAATAATACAAACAGTAATATAACACATAAAGTCTCTCAAATTTTCAAAGGTTTTTAAAATTAGTTACATTAATAAATTAAATGAAGCATAATCAAAGGCTGATGTAACCAGTATTATTACTGCATAAGCACTCCCATCAATTAAAAATAATGCATGATACTTATAATGAATAAGTGGAAGGTCATACAACAAAAAAGAAGTGTGTTTTTGGAAAAAGGTGAGTATTGTGGGCCACAGAAAAAAGAGACAATAGAGCTGAATAGAAAATATCCCATCTATTCTCTTCACAAAGCCTAAGATCGACTATAATTGGATTTGAATGATGGCAGGCCGTTCATGCCTCTGGGCTCTGGTTGTACTTACCATTCCTGGCTTTGGTCTCTCAAAGAGACATGCACATCTTGGTCACACATCTACAAATTTGAAATTTGTTTCTAGTTTATTAATGAAGAAAAAAGATATTATCTAAATATCTAAATCATAATTTCTTTGGTATATTTCATCTAATATAACATCAGGTCTAAGAGTTTTTAGGGGTATAAATTACTTACCATAGTTTGAGCCCAAGTCTTCAGTAGAACTTGATTATCTTTTTTTTTCTTAAATGAACTATTAAAACACGTAAATCCTGTAGATTTAAAATAACAATTTGCACACCCTTGCGAGACCAATGCCAGGATTGGTGAGAGCAGCCGGTGGCATAAACGGCCTACCATAGGTTAAGTCCAACCTAAAGGACCCCTCCAATCAAAACGGGATTAACATTGAAAAAAAGACGTATAGAAGAGTTTTTGACGGACATTCCGAATATGAATGATTTTTCTTAGAAATCATCAATAATTCTGGAATCTAGCTTTAAGAATACAACTCGGACCGCTCAGAAAAAAGCCCAGTTTCGGAGCTGTATTACACAAAAGGATATAACGTTACTGCAGGAGAAAACATATCAGGTACGCGCCGCTCAGCGCAGCGAAAGTATACAGATAACACTTGTGTCTGGATAATTCTTTCCTTGGTTATTGAAGAATTTCATTGTAAAAGAAAAGGAGAAATGACTGAAAAAGACAATGAGAGCGACGCAGTTGCACGTGATTACAATAATTAATCGGACAGTGATCAGGACTTCAGGAAGTGTTTGAAGAAGTAAATTTCACTGTACTTGTCATACACAGGGGCGGCGATCCCGGGGACGGGGGGGGGGACACGTCCCCCCTCAATTTTTTTAGGGGAGGGATTTTCCCCCCTGAAAATTTGAAAAAGTGCAAAAAAATAAGTGTATAGCAAATACTGACTAAAGACTGCAACGAATTTTAAGGCTCTGGAAGGCCCTGGAAGGCAGCGTTTAGACAAATAAAAATGCAAAAATCTTCTCGCTCGGTAGCTACGCTCCCTCGCAAAATATTCTTCACAATGTACAAGTAAATATTGCAGAAAAGTGAAGTGTGAAAAAGCTATATTGCTTGTTTTTATACTATTGTTTTGTTAAGGAATGTAATTGGTTAATACATCAAAGCTTCAAAAACCTGTGAGGGGATAGTCACTTCCGTCACCGTCAACCCTCTCGTTCACTATGCTCCCTTGCACTTGTGTAATGATGGGGGGGGGGGGGGGGGGGGGGTTGGGGGCAGTTACCCCCCCCCCCGAATAAAATATAAGAGTGGTTTATTTTTAATTCGATACCAGTGATTTACAAATGTTGCTGAAATATCATGGTTTTCCCTAAACTTCCGGGGGCTCTGCCCCTTGGGCCCCACCAAGGGCCCTAAGGCGTGCCCCTGGTTGCTCATCTGACCGTAATTATATGCCTGAAGACCTTGAGCTTCCGGGGGCTTCGCCCGCTGGACCCCAACATAGGCCCTAAGGCGGGCCCCGGATGCTCATCTATCCGTTATTAAATCCCTAAAACCCCGCCCAATGACCCTGCCGGGGCTTTGCCCCTTGACCTCAAGCCAATTAACGCTACATTTACTTCGCTCGCTTTGCTCTACCTGACCGAAAACATTTTAGCCCTCCCCCCCTTTGAAAAACTTTCAGCGGGGCCTGCATGTACCATGTAAAAGTGGGGGTGATGCGGATTTTTTTTCTGCCCCCCCCCCGAAAAACACATTTTTTGCTCATTGCTACACTGCTCCCCGTTCCTAGCATTTCGTCCCCCCGGTCATGAAAAGAAATCGCCGCCCCTGGTCATACATAATAGAATTGACGACAGTAACATCAAAACCTATCAGTTCGAGCCATAGCCAGGGCCACAGCTCGACGATCTGGATCTGCCGATTAATGAGACAATTTCTATTTTCACGTACAAGGCACAACGTGGTTGGAGCAGCTGAGTCTGTTAATTCAACATGACGGTGATTTCAGCAAACTGGAAGGCACCCACATCATGAAGGCAGTTCCATTCCTTGAGACCGTGGAAGACGACCGAAACCCATCGGTAGGTACAATCAGGGGGCGTCGCTAGACCTTTTTTTCAGAGGGGGGGGGGGGGTGTAGAGGGCTTCGATTACCGACAAACTAGCCACCGATTACCGACAAATATATATTAATGCCAATCTGACCTATTCACTTTACTCTTTGTTATAATACATGAAACGGAAGCATATTACATTATGTCCTCATTAAAAAAAATATTTAAAAACTGTCGCGTAGTCTACTACGAGGTTTTAATGAGGGTAGCCCACCTTTCTTAATGATGAGAGCATGCTAAAAACAATCCACTTAGTGTTTAATGTTTTTCAATCCGCATATAAATACAAAAAATGAGAGAACATGCGATCGCTTTGTGAAGTGGGTGTTAACCCATTCAGGTTGTTTCAGGCCACTTATTTTAGCATGTTAATTCACAATTGTAAGAGTGATTATTACTTGCTGTTTTTCTCATTGACTATTTTCATATGACAATATTTGACTATTTCCGTACTAACTATATTCATGTTGACTATTATCATATTTATTTAATTAATAATGTCTAATCTTATATTGTGACGTCATTTCAGACATCACCGCTGGTAATCGACAAGGCTGAAAAGATGGCGTCACCAAGGATACTCAAATCTCACTGCCATTCGCCTTTCCTACCCCAGGATATCAGCACCGATGATCCGAAAGTTAAGGTAAATTTGTGGCTACATTTTTATACCTTAAGCCACTTTCACACCAAATATGCGTAGACTTGCGTAGTGTGGCGTACTGAATACGCCAAAAGTAGGCTGCGTATTCATGAAAACAATATTGCTTCGGCATAGTCACTACGTAGGTAATGCGTAGGCTTGCGGACGATGGCCTATGGTTACGTACCCTGTGCGAAGGCGTACCTACGGCATATGCAATTGGCGTGCTTACATGTTCGATTGCGTATAACAGGCGTAAGTTTTCGTACGTTTACGTAGGCCTGGCGTAAAGGGTACATAGGTTTAGGTTGCGTATGGTTGCTAACTGTGTGCAGGAAGAATCTAGGACGCCTTTATACGCTTTTACTGCTTCGTCGGACTGGCGTAGGGTAGCGTAGTACTATTTAGTAGGCATGGCATCCCGCATGGCGTACAGTAGCGTAGTGTTGCATAGACTTACGTAAACAATCTGTACTTTCTGCGTCTAGTGTCTACGCCGAAAGTCACGTACCCTTTTGCGTATAGTTACGAAGGCCAGCGTATAGGGTAGCGTACGTTTGGCGTAGTCGGTACGCAACACTACGCAGTTTCTACGTATGGCCCGGTGTGAAACCCGCTTTAGTCACACCAACGAGACCCTTGTCACAGTCCAGAATCTCCGGCCGTGTCAGATATAGAGTACCGGAGTGTTAACTTCATATTCGCTCGTCGCTAAGGTAACTGGTTCTAAACAACAAAGCCTGCGCACGAGGTTTACCACGAAACCATTCAAGCAATGGGCTAGATCAGGGCAGGGAAAATTCAACATTTGGGGCTGGAATGATTGCCACTTCCCCGGGTTCTTTACTGGATTATGAACTATAATGTATGCAATTCGCATTCCGACTACTTAGATAAAATTATTCGTAAAAGTTGCATACAATAATATAAACGAGGCACTTCACAATTACATATGCATTAAAATTTGGTAACATAACGAAAATGGCCTATTGAATTGATCTGCAGGTGATTTACGTAGCCCGGAACCCAAAGGATACGGCTGTTTCCTACTACCATTTCTGTCATTACATTCCTCTCCTCCCAACCTATGAATCTTGGGATATGTTCTTTGAAGAGTTTCTAGCTAACAGAGGTGAGTCGTCATCCCACCCCCCCCCTCACTCCGGGGTCGGAGGGACCGCATGCATGTTCCCAAAATGTCCGGTAAAGGGGTAGTTTTCACGCACCAAAGTCCGGCTCGTAGTACACAAAAATCTGGCCCATGTTGACTTTACACACCGGACTTAGGGGGGTGTTTTCAAAAGGAGGGAACATGCATACGCGTACCCTAAATAACACTGAGTGGGAGGGGGGGGGGGGTCGTCATTTAGAATTTTGTACTCAAGAAGGGACACTTTCTGAAAACTGAAAACTGAAAACTGAACGTGATCGCAGATACTTACGAATAATCAGCCGAAGACTATTTCAAAAGCTTCGTCAATAATTTATTGAAATGTGTGGTCGCATGAGGCATTACGCAATCTGTTTCTATAAGATATTATTGTTATCAAGGAGTTGGTGTCACTGTGCCTGGGAGGTAAAAAGCGAACTGGATCACTGTAACCCTTGAGTGTCTTCTCTCGATGTAACTTATTGGGGGTGTACACGTGGACCACTTTACCGGGGTTTCTCCCTACTCCCATACGAATAGTGCAGTGTGTTCTTAACGTGCAAAGGTGGTGACTCCCCTCTACATGGGGTTCGCAACCGATACCAATACAGTCACAGTAAGATACTGTAAAAAGTTTGAAGTGGCACAGTAAAACTTCCTAGATTATATAATCTGTAATCCAGGTTACAACGTTTCAACAATACAATAAAGTCATTTCTATAGCGCTCTTACAAACTAACTGTTGTTTCACCTGGGTTATAGTGATGGCACAGTATCGAACTGTAGGATCGAGTCTTTTTTGCGCTCTGATAGAACAATGGTCTGTTGTATTGTCTCCATTCCAGACTTCACCCTTTTCAATCGCATAAGCAATGCAAATATAAGTGAGTAAATGGTGCATGCGCGTCTGTGTATGCCTTTCTATTTTTGGGGTAATGTTTATCAAATTATTCTTTTATTTGGTGGCACTGACATATCGATTTTTTTAAAAGTTACATATACCTTTTTTGGGGGAGTGGGTGAAATGCTTCATGCATGCATGACAAATGAATGAAGACTGATCATTGGTATGAGGTGGGGTTCCGATTTCCCCTTAAATTCCCACTTCGCAGACGAAGCACTCGATGCGAAAACCAACAGCGCAGTTACGGAAGCAGCGAGCCCGGGACCATACTGCTACAGCTGACTTAAGATGGCGCTAGAGGAGATTTTGCAGCAATGCTGCTAGTAGAGTATAGCTTTAAAATATGGGCACACTGAAAACACATGCTTCAAACAGGATTAGTTTGGCTATAATTATTGAAATCACTTTTGAGATGATTTCTTGAAAGTCATTGTGATCGCATTATTTTTACCTCAGCTCCTCAAGGATCTTGGTTTGAAAACGTGTTGCCATGGTGGAGGAGAAGAAATCATCCAAACGTTCTTTTTCTCAAGTACGAAGATATGAAAAAGGTGAGTTGTATCGTTGTTTAGAATGATCCCCCAAAATATGATATTCTTTATTTACTTCAACCATTTAAAAAAGTATGGGAAAATTTGTCGAACATTTTTCAAGCAAAACTGAAAATAGAAGGACAGAAGTACATATATAGATTTCAACTTTGTACCATAAATGGGTCCGGACTTTTACAACATGACAATTACAACCGGTCAATTCTTTTATGTTACCGCAAGGAAAAGGAGCTATACCAAATATCTTTCGGATTGGATGGGATCTAATTACAAAAGACAATATCCTCCGTAATAAACACTAATAATCATATTAAGCCGTTCCTCTATAGCACATAATGATATTACGTCCTTATGCACTTCCAAAAATGTTTGGATATTATAACACTCACATTAGCTCTGGCAGCCGTTATCAGCACAGCGTTTCAAGAAATAACTCCCATCAGGTGCTCATTAAACACCTGGGTGGAGAGTGGCAAATGTGCATTAATTGTCTTGCTGGACAAGTTACTCTTCGGCGAGAAGCCCCTTAAAATATGACCCTAACAGGTGACAGATATTTTTGGGTAAACGTATTAGATTCATTTTTTCGTGGAATCATGTATTGTTATATTTTCAAGAACAAAAACAAGAACAACAATAACAATAATACTAATAACAATAATACTACTACTAATAATAATGATAATAATTATAATAATAATAATAATAATAATGATAATACTAATAATGACGACGATAAGATGATGATGGTGATAATGATAATAATAATATCACTACTACTACTACTGTTACTACTACTACTACTACTACTACTTCTACCACTACTACAAAGCTATTTTTGTTATAGAAATACTAACAATGTCTGTAACTTCAGAAAATATTAACAAAATATGTCATAAATAACGTAATGTAATGATAAGAGTCACATCGAATAGAGGAATTTCAATGGTGAAAATATTTTGATAATGGTAAATTAGACGATTTCTATTTTCTTCGTACAACTCTTTAGGACCTACCAGGAGCCATACGACAGATTGCTGAATTCATGGGAAAGTCCTTTTCAGATGACGCCATCGAAAAAATCGCGGAAGCTTCGACGTTTAAGGCAATGAAGAAGAACCCTTCATCGAATCCAGACACTGTGCTGCAGAAGAGCAACCAGGACTCCTCATTCATGAGAAAAGGTACTAGATGATTACATAATCGATATACTGTACTGGGACAGGACACAACGAATTTAAAATGGCCCCTCCCCTCCCGAGGAGTAAATCAAAGTGGACTAAAAGGGAAAGGTATAAGAAGAACACATAGAAAATGTAAGTAACTGCATTGGCAAAAGGAAAAGGAATTGAAAAAAAATGATCCTCCCCATCCTACTGGAGTAAATGAGAGTGGACTCTCTATTACGAGAGTAAACAAAACTGAACCATGATGATGGTGTCTTTGCCTGACAAGATTTTTGATTGATGGGTCTTTTCTATGTAGCCCTTCGTCCCGCTAATCTTAAATGGGTCCAGGTCCGAATACACGGAAGACCTTAAAATGTGAAGATATCGTGGTTGAGTGGTTCGATTCCAGCGGCGACCGAGCAGGCTACAAATCTGTCGGTCGCCGCTCTGAGTTATGACCATAGCTTTACTCTCCACGCAGATGTTAATGGGTATCTGGCGAATGGTTGGGGGTAATAATGATTGCAGGGCCCTCAGGAAGAGCAGCATTGGTGCTGATGTGCCTCCCTGGGTAAACACAATCATCATTATTACGACTACAGCTCATGAGACCGACCACCCAGGAGACTAACAGCCCACGTGACCGACATGCAGGTCCCACGAACTTTCTGACATCTGGTCTGAGGATTTACTAGACCGATATTTTCGGCTGTCGATATTTTCGGGTACCACTGGTTAAAACCTTGACCATCATGATATTAAACCACAAATATAGCCTACCTTTGACATCCAAATTCAACGTCCAATCTCTGTGCTTGTGATGTCACGATGTATTTTCTTGTTCAGTGTAGTCTTTCTTCTATCTTATGTCGGGTTTATATCCTTTCTTCTTCATTATTCAATGAGACTGTCATATTACAAACACAAAATATATTCCTTAATTGATTGTTTTGTATCCCCTCTTTGCACTTTTAGCTAGCATTATTCAACTCTCTTACCCATTCTCTCTTTATTCCTTTCATTTTCCTTCTCTCTCTCTCTCTCTAAATATATATGCCCCCTTCTTTCCACTTAATATTATATTCCCACAATACATTTTTGATGTTTTCTGTTACATTGTCGTATCTATTTTTTATATAAAATTGTTTGGTATATTTATACTTATTTTTTCCCTTTCATTAATTATTCATTAATTTCTTTCTACCTTTCTTTCTTTCTATTTTCCTTTTATCATCCTACATTCATTTGCTCACAAGGTGTGGTTGGAGACTGGAAGAATTATTTCACTGACGAACAGAACAAGCGATTTGACGAGCTGTACGATAAGGAAATGGCAGGCTCTGGACTTGAATTCGAGTTTTAGGAGTTGCTGATAGGCCGCCTTTGACCATTGCCATGGTCGACCAGAGTCAATATTTATTTTATTTTAAATGACTTTAAAATTGTGATACACATTCACCTACAGCTCTCAAAAAGAGGACAGTAGACATTGTAAATGTTCTTTTTAACAGGACCTAATTTCTAGTTTCTATGATTCTTTATATTTTTAACTATTTGCCAAAGATTGATTTTATGCTGCATCGTCATTTGATAATTTATAGGAACATGATAGTTTTTTTGTTTTGTTTGTACATCCATTTTTGCTGTAAAGTGGTTGTTACTTGCTGTTTCCCATGTTAGTGATTTATAAATAAAGAAGAAGTTGCGGGCAGAATTTAATCATGGATCTACTACGTAGTAGGTCCATGATTTAATGCTTGCAACCCATTGTAATAATACCAAGTGCTGTGAGTTTCCTTGTATAACAATTCCTTTCTACTTCGATTAATTACACATGCTATAGTTTCATCATTATCGTTTCATCATTTAAACTACCTGTAATGTCAATTTTTATATCGATTGTTTCTTCCCTTCATTTGTTCTACCTAGTGCATTTATAAATATCTTTCAGAAAAAGTTTGTGCATTCAAGTTACATACTCATTATAATGTTAATCACTGTCAAAGTGTGTGATTTGTACAGTCATTGCAATGAATCAAGTCGCAGAAATAATTTAAGTGATTGTGATATTTGAATGACTGATATTTAGTAATTAAAGGTTGTTTAAAGTGTCAAGTCAGATAATGTGCATTAATTTTTAAAATGTCATGTCTACAGTTGTGTTATATCCACTGCGGGTTGTATATCCTAATCTCCATTTTTAGCTGACATAATTAAATGAGGCTGTATATTCCTACATAATAATGATGAGTAACATGTCATGTGATCAGGTTTTACACTTCTTCAGTCTTATGAATATTTAGTTAATAACTAATAATATTATCCTTGTTCGCATGCGCGGTGCAGCTACATAATGAATACTTAGTGGTATTTGATCGCATGTTTGACTCTGTACACAAATCATGTACACACATGCTTGTTACTTTCTGTTTATATGCCTCAGTTTCGGCTTCTTTGTGTTTTCGATTCGCAAGAAACTCATTAAACATTTATATATGCATTTCATTCATGTTTTCATTCAAATGTTTATCGTCACCTTTTAAAAAAATATTATCGACATATATCGCTTTGTAAAAAAACATGTACACACATGGACTCTGCGTTCTTTCTGTTTATATGCCTCAGTTTCGGCTTGTTTATCTTGCTCTTGGTTAACAATACATGTACATGTAATATTGATATCTGGAATGATTGGAGTTACCAAAATCCTTAATTGCATTATTTATCAAGCACTCCATTTCTGTTCTCTTGAACACGTTTCTCTTTTGAATGAATATAGCTCGATTTTCATAGTCTTTTAATGATAGAAATGCTGGTGTTATTAATTATGGGCATGCGCAGAGGACTGAATTGTAAAAGTGTTCATTTCTGATTAAAAACCTAAGACCGTCTGCACAGGTATCTTGTTATTTTTGTGTTGAATTCATACTGTTGTTATTCAAGATACATGGAGGGGCAAATAGAGTTTATCTTTCCGCTTCAACATCGAAGTAAACATCAAAGTAAGTAAAATATTGTTGTATGGTTATGATTTTATGATATGATTTTTTAATATAATGTCACCTTGCTGTTAAAATCAATCAAACTTATATTATTGTGAAATAACTGCACTAAAAATATATTCATTAACTATATGACATCGGCTGCTTACGCATGCTTGGTGTTTTTCGTGTAGATTTTATGCATTGTTCTATGCGCAGTTTACCTGAACCTTATTCGATTTTCATCTGAATAAGCTACCTGGTTTCTAGGGATACTTTATTGGCTATAGTCGTGATTTTCAATTGACATCTACTCTCAACAAACAACTTAAAGGTATTACAAAGTTTTGGGAAATTTTGAAAAATGGGTGGATAATGATTCTTTACAATTTTGATATACTTGGGTGCCCCTGTGGATGTATTAAAAACACTAGAATTTTTAGCCCCTAAAACACTTCTGCTGTCGAGGAAAAGTGAATATAAAGATTGACCGTTGCTCCCGGCAAATTTTGATAAATTTCTAATAGCTCCTACGGCCGTACAATGGTAGCTGCGACCATGAAAATCTCAGAATATGTAGTTGTGGTATATAATTTTCGAACGGGGATAGCTAATCGGTCGATTTTAGTCAAGAAACATTGTTTTATAGCTTGATTAATATCTTGATCTTGAGAGGGAGCTATACAACATAAAGTGTTTATTATTTACAATTTCATAACTTTAGAGTCGATTTCGACCGCGACAACGATCGGTGAATATTGTAAGATCGTATATGCTTCCAATTTGTTTATTTGAACCAAATTCACGACCCCATACAAAAACTTTGTATTACCTTTAATATATTACACAGTATACGCACTGTAACTATCGCGCCTGTCTTAAAACTGCTCAAGAAGAAAGTGTAGCCAAACTTTTCTTGCCAACTCGCTTCAGTCGCTCCCAAATAAACATAAATCTCCTGGGGGTGTTTCACAAAGATCCTAAGTTGAACTTATCTCTAAGTTGGACTTAAAAATTATGGTAAGCCGTTAGCATCATTGAAAATATTTTGTAAAAAATTATTTTAAAAGACAGAAAATGTTGATTCAAATTATTCATATTTTCTATTATCTTGGGAGTTTTCATGTTCTTGATGGGGCATTTATAAAAAGTCTAAAATACTTGAATTTTTGCTTTTGAATATGTTTTATTTTAAGGCTACAAATGGCTCTCCATAATTTTTAAGGCCAACTTAGAGACAAGTTCGACTTAGAATCTTTGTGAAACACCCCCCTGGTGTGCGAACAGGCAGGACATGTGTGTGCGTGTGTGTGTGTGTGTGTGTGTGTATCAATTGGATACATGAACAGAAAATGGCCAACTTCTATAAGAGCAGTCGTAGATTAGTTTTTTGAAGAAAGAAAAACCTTCATATTTTAAGTTTGCTTTAAAGGGATTGGATATTACATTGTTTCAGATTCTGAAACAAAATCCTGGATTTAGCTCATGATGCAATGTGAAGATATCAACTATAAACCTTTAGTTCAGTCAGGAACCCCACGACTTTTACAAGCTGATCGCCTGTCTGATTATCAAGATATCTATGATTGAAAATCAAAATCACATTTTGCGTTTTCCTAACGGTTTTCATAGCACTACAGTCTATTGGGGAAAAAGAGAATGGTAAAACCTTGATTATTTTGAATCGCAATTTTTTTAGGGCTTCAATATTACACCATGTCACAGACACTGATAACACGTAGGGCCGTGCATCTCGGATTTAACATTATTCAACGATGCCTTTAAGAGACGGGATCAGTATCAGCATTAAAAATACATAATGGTATACAAACCATTAGTCGTTTATATTCTATCAAATATTATTATCTTTCTCTCTAGGGAGTCAAAAACCTCTTTTTATTATATGTTATATTATTTTTATGGAGTTACCCCCTTCCTTACGTAATGTTTTCAAGTAAGAAAACCAACAACATCATGACTTCATTCCACAGACCATTGATCCAAGACTAACAGCTTGATATCGATGATACAGACATTAATGTACGACTAGTTTGGACGGCGAATAATTTCATTTCAAAGATAGCGGGACATTGTAACGCACCACGCTTTAACATCGATCAACTACAAGGCTACAAGCGAACTTCGCAAGTGAACTGAAGTAGACTCTGAGACAATTTTTTTAGTAAGTCGAAACTTTTCAATCTTTCATATACTAACCGTCACTTTGTCTACCTATTGATTAACGGCGTATCCAGAGACTTTATAAGGGGCAAAGTATTTCGACTTATTTTGAAGCATTAGTAAGGAGGCCTATAGCTTGCGTTACAAGACTTTACCATCAAGAAGGGTACAAATTTAGACTTACTGTTAGCCATTTACTTCTAGTAAGAAGAGCCCTGGCCTGCAATAAGGGGGAGGGGGATGGGGAGCATCGCCCAAAATTATTAATGAAAAGTCAAGTCTTTGAAATTATGTCTACACTTTGAGCGTTTCTCAGCATAGATGTGTATAATAGTTCCCAATGTGGTTACAACTGAGGCTGCTTTACTTTTTGTTGATAGAACATCTGCCAGGAGGGGCGAAGTGACCCTTTTTCAAATAAATGGCGAGTGCCCTTGATTCTCCCTGATATTGATATTCTCTGTATACCGGACCAAGTGTTCAATAGGATATCTCTTTGTATATTAGTAAAGACACATAAAAGCTTATATTGAGAGAAGGAGAGAGAGAGAGAGAGAGAGAGAGATGAAAAGAAGGAGGGGAGTGGGAGATAAATGAAGGAAGGGATAGATGGTTGGAGAGAGAGAAAAAAAAAGATAGAGAAGTCATAGTGAGAGAGATATATGAAGGTTGAAATATTTCATATATATATATATATATATATAGAGAGAGAGAGAGAGAGAGAGAGAGAGAGAAGTCACATAAACAATGATATATACATACATGGTAGTTTGGCAGGTTTTTTTTTCCCCTTTCAATTGAAAGCTTTCTTTATTCTTTGTTTCTACACTTCATTGTTATCATTTATTACCAAAATGTACTATTTAAAAGTGAAGTTTATTAGTTTAAATAATAAACGCCCCTCAGGTCATGTCCGTGCAGCAGAGCGAGTCCATAACTGTTTGTTTTTTCTTCTTAAAGATGGATTTTTTACAGACTGATACCTTAAGAGCTAATTTCATACAGCGGCCAGTTTATTTGATGCTCTAAGCAGTCATTTCCGAAGAGGATTTGTAAATTAATTTCAAAACATGCAGGGGGTGAAGGAAAGCACCCATCCACAACAACTCAAACACGATAAATACTGGAGAAAGGACATGGATTAACACAACGCTGGTTCGACAGACAGTCTAAGGTTACAGTTGTGATATCTACTCTCGGTAAGTGAAAAATCTTTTTGAGTTCATTAAAGAAATTCGATGAATGTGTAATAAAATATACATTTATCTACTTATTTTTCCAGTTATATATTCTTTTTTGTTTGTTTCTTCTTTTTTAAAAATATATTTGAGTTAGTTAGCGATAAAGGTTAGTTCTGGTAATGCGATTGCATTGTGAAAGAAAAGGTGTGGAATGGATCGGAACAATTTGATCATATAGCATGTAGGTATTGGTGTGTACTGCAAGGTTCTGGAGTCATCAAAATCATGATAAATTTGGCCCAGTCTTGGTAAAGTAGCAATCACTGTACACAAAAAGATGTATATGGGACAACACAAATGGTGTCGGGGCTAGTACTACCTTGATTTCCTTATCTTTCTATGCTCATTACGCAGCCGTTATACATTTTCTTCCAAAAATGTTTGGCACATGACATTTATTTGTAATCTTGAACATTCAGTGTAAGTTTCGTTAGATTATGTGAAAAATCATTTTTTTTTTTTTTACCAGAACTCAAGTTTATCTTT